ATCCCAGAAGTGCTTTTTTCAAAAAGCAACTGGATTTTCTTGTTTTTTTCTTTGAAAATGTTTTGCTTTTCATTCGAGAAGCTACTTCAGTTCATGATGAGAAGCTAAAACATTTTCAAAGAAAAAAACAGGGATGGGTTCCAGCTGCTGCTACTGCCGGTTTGCTCAGGGACGCGCTGCACCTGTGCATGCACAGTACCCCCCCAGAAATGCTATGCATGCACAGAAGCAAAAAACAAGATGGCGCCGCCTATGGCGCCACTGAGACAACCGGTTGGGGGGCGTGGCAGGCCAAGTTACTACCTACTCAGCTGAACCGGTCCAAACCGGTAGGAACCCACCTCTGGAAAAAAACCAAGAAAGTCCAGTTGCCTTTTACAAAAGCACCTTTGAGACAACCACGACCTGGATGTTTGAGAATTTCCAAACACAAGATTGTAAACTACTGTGTATTTGTTAACTGTATTATATTTGTGCATTAAATAAATGCTGAAATGTTGAAAGACAGAGAGCTCTGGAACATATTTACCTATTTTTTATTTTTAGAGAATTGCATATTTGTATAATGTACATTCAGTCAGAATATTATGGGCAACTCACACCGTATGCATTATTACCCAGAACTATTGGGAATTCTGTATTGTTTATTTGACATTATTGTGCCAAATACTATTCCTAGTCCTTTAGCCAATGTAGAACTGACATGAATGGAAAATATAAATATCCCTTAAAATAATCAGATCTTTCCATCTGGGATTTCTAAGAAATAAATAAGTTTATGCATAAGAGTATACATTGTACTGTATATACATTTTATATTTATGGTGGGGAGGGCATGCAATCAGTCCTGTAGTGTAGATCGAATAGGAAGTATCAGTGGTTGTTATATTGAAAATTCCAGTAAACAACTTATAGAATTAATTACATGAAACTCAGTGGTGGTATGCTGCCAATTCACACTGGTTTGGGCAAATTGGTAGTGGCAGCGGTGCAAGGCTCTGCCCACCCACCTAGACATCATCAAGGCACATCTGCACAAGCGCTCCCGCTACTGAACTGTTAGTGAAGAAAATAGAATACCATTACTGATGAAACTAATGTACATTTTTACAATCACATTAAATATTTGAGCAATATTTATCTGCCAATTCTTAAGCATGCTAATCGTTACAGATACCACATATACCTATTTTGAAATAATTCCTAAATGTATTGGGAAGCGAATCGGTAATCAATGTATAATTTTCTAACAGTTCAGATATCTCGTTAGGACAAGTATAACTGTTCATATTCTGGGATGTATATTTATTCCATATTTAAATATTTATTTTCCCTGTGATTGATGCCTGTAGAAATGAAGCAAGAATCAATGGAGTTGAAGCCACATTTCTTTCTTTGACATTTATCATTGCTATAATGTGTTTTAAATAGTTTAATGTCACATTTGAGAGCATTAAGAAGTTGCTATGACTCTAAGACTAAGTCCCCTTACATATATTTCTTGCAGAACACCTGTGTCTAAATTGAGTCGTGTGCCTTCATTAACAATGCACAGGTTTTGCTATCTGAAAATTCCATCTCTAGCAACCTGGCTGAGTTGATGGGGTGAAAGGTGAAGGTCTTACTATTTTGGGAACTCTGGGGGTCACTACACCTTTGTCCTGCCTTTTTTCCTTGCTTTAGTTTCTTTTTCAAAGTAAACCGATGACAGAAATTGTACTTGATAGTCTGTGAATACCACTGATACTTTCTCTGTGACAAAGGAAATATGGTGTCTGAACACATTCTAAAATAAGCCTAATTTTCAGGAACAAACAGCAGATTTCTTAGCAACAGATACGTGGTACAGTTTTGCCAAATTTGATTTCCTTCTTTGAGAAAGGGAAAATACCTGGCACAGGTTCCAAATTCTTTACTCTCACTGGAAAATCAATCATAATTTCCTGTAACTGATTACAAAACAACTGGAAAGACTATTTTACAAAGATTATTGACAATAGGTTTTTCCTTTCCTTGTAATAATAGTACCAGGAGAAGTTAGTATCAAGGTGTTGGAAGGAAAATCCATCTGGTTTAGTTCCAAGCTAGGAGAAAGATGCTGGAAATAACATGGAGGCTGATTGGAAAGGAAGTTTATTGAAGAATAAAACCACATACAAAGACAACATGCAGCTGAACAATTAACTAGATGAGTGCCAGAATTTTTATACAGGTCTTAAAATGCTGCTGGTGTGTGTGTGGAGTTGTGTAATGAAGGGGCTTGTGTTCTGAAAGGGTGTTTGGAAATTCCTATTATGGCTAATGACTTTTGTTCTGTACTGGATCTTGGGTGAGGGGCTGCTTTCTAATCCTACCATTCTGCTTTTGTTAGCTGTCAAATTTTGCTGCAAGGAGTTTCAAAATATGCTGTCTTGAATGGGCTTCTGCTGGCAGTATTTGTTTTGCTTATGAATGGAGTCATCTAAATAGTTGGCTTCCTCTTTTAATAAGCTCTTTTTATCCTTAAGTGCTGCCATCTGCTGTGGGCTATTAAGAAAGACTGGGGATGTCTTTCTGCCTCTAAAAACCTGCCTCTAATGTTTCTCCATTTCTCCTTTAGGGAAATATAATATTCTGCCTTTTTTAATATTTTCCAAAATATTTCATTCTTTTTAAGGGGCTTCCCACAAAGGTCACATATTATATGGATGGGATAACATTTATTGCAGTATACTATTAAGGATCTTAATATATGTATATTATTTCTTCAAAAATGTGGTAGCCCAGAGTGGTAAGAAATTGTTGACACTAGCTTGGAACCCATGCATTTCATTTTCCTCTGACCTCACAATTTATAATTCCTTCAACCATGCTGTTGTAAGAGAAAAAGAGTTCAGGCAGGAAATTCTTGATTCCACCCAGATATAATTAATAGTATTACCATTTAATGAATAAATCATATAGTGAATGTTTTCACATCTTAAAATCAAACAAGCCCATCACATTTTAATTGTGTAAATTTAAATTGTTTAAATTATCATTCAGTATATTATATAAATCTCAAACTGGATTAATTCCTTTGTATGGAACCTTTGCAAAGGATAATCTAAACTGATACTGTTGATTTTTAATGTTGATTTTATTTATATGCTGCCCTTTTCCCCCGAAGGGGACTCGTATATATTTATAATGTTCTTACATAACTTTCCCTCAAAAGGCAAAGTAGTTCCTTTTTTTTTTGCAGTGATTAAAATGCAGGCTAAAATGAATAAAAAGTAGTCATGAAAAAGAATGTTTTCCCAGCAGCATAGTATTCCCCCCCCCAAACAATTTCATTATATCTTGTCTAAAGAATTAACCAACACTCCAATGCATTTATGAAAGGTATTGTGTAGAAGGAAATAGTCGTATTAATGTTACTTCTTCAGTTGTCTATGAAGAGCCAGGAAATTGACAATTTATAATTTATTTTTTTTCAGTTACACAAAATGTTACATGTTATTTTTATTACTGTAAATTATGTTTAGGGTATAATTCTGTCCTCTGTTCCAGAGACTATAGGAATTTCAGTATCTCCCTCCAAGATAAGCGACAAAGAACTCAAAAGGGTGGCAATTGTGTGGGATGGGTGGGGCTAAGAATTTGATTGACAATGAACCCTCCAACCACCTGCAGGACAAACAAAGATTAATTGGCTAGCTAGGCCATCCACAACATTCAACCCTATAAATGCATAGTTTTTATTAAGGTTGCTTATAGTAGCCAGATGTTCACACTGGATTTGGCACCTTTGCCCACCTAAGAAGTCCTTACCAAGAATCTAAAATAACCAGAAATTGTTTGATGGTATTTGTTTTATGGTATTTGAAGAAAAAAAACAACAGAGCCTTGTCACAACTTTATCATGTGATGTTCGTCCAAAGAGGACCTTGACATCTAACAGGTTGTGGGCTGTTTACGATGTGTCTGCAGGTGGCTGGTAAGGCCTATACGGGCACAAAACGTTCTGCCATGTCGGGGAGACGTGTGGGCACCACTGTTGCAGCATTTGTAGCTCTGGCTTTGCGAAGTGCTCGCTTCTCTTGTGCTATGGTTGTTCTTCTGTCCTCAGATGTCTCGCAGCCTATACTTTAGCAAATATAATATACTTGAATCCATGCATATTTGCTTCAGTCCACTTGGTGTGCTTCCAGCTCCCCAGCAACTTTACTGGGAACTGAAATTCCACAATTTACAAGATAACTAGAAAAGCAGATTTTCAGCACGACATACAGTAAACGTGTTAGCCCTTAAACTACCCTCGTTTCGCTGAGGCATAGTAAGTAGAAAAAAACATTCTGCAGAGTTCCATGAAGCTGATTTGCTGCAGGACTAGCATATCTGAGCTACAAAACCCCCAGATTTCTACATGACGTTTTCCTCTTCCGTTCAGTGGCCAACCGGATTTCTGCAGTCCAGACAATGATAAGCCCTGATGTCTCCGTTCCAGTGCTACAGATTGGAGCGTTTATTCCAATTGGCGATGTTGTTTTTATGGTATATTCCAGATGCTAGGTAGTGCATTCGACAGCAGGTTGCCCCATCCTCCCCTCCCCAATCCCTCATCTTTCCCCCCAAATAAAAACAAGCAAAGGGAAATCATCGGCACATTGTCAAAGGAAAAAAACCGCCGTTGGCTTTCCCTTTCAGATTCCGAAAACACACACAAACACACACCCGATTAAGGCTTCTCCCATTGGCTCCTCTGCATTCCGTAGCTCCTCCTCCCGCTACCCTGCTCAAAGCAGTCGTGTCAATCAGGTTAAAAAAACAAAAAAAAAACCAAGCGCCGCCCGCTCTTATTAGCGCCACGTACCTTCCCTCGGCGCAACGCACCTTCATCGCTTAATTTCTCGTCGCGCAACCAAAATTGGTTGCCCGAGGTAGCCCAATCGTAGCCCTACGCGATTCCCAGAAAGGGGAGCGCTTCCGCCAATCCCGGCGCTGCAAAAGGCGGTACCTGTCACCATGGGAACGAGGAACTAGGTTTGTCTAGAGAGCAGCTTGGGGCTGTATCGGCAAAGAGAAGGAGGGAGGGGAAGTAAAGGAAGGAGGGAGGGAGAAAGGAAGAGGGGAGTGCACGAAGCAAACCCCAACGCCGGGATATCTTGCTGTTCCGGCTCGAGGGTTCCCGTCGAGAGAAAGCAACCTGCTTAGGATCACCTGGTCTCCACCTCTAGAGCTATGGATCCTTGCCGGAGGAAGCAGGTAAGATTTTTCTCTTAATGCCGGAGCCGAGCAATGGGTGATCAACTTGGGTTACCCCAAATTTCTTCCTTATCCAACAGTGCTCGGGGTTTTGTTTCACAATTGCATGCATTGTCAAAGGGGGTTATAAAAGGGTGGCCGGGCTGGCCGTCCCTGGAGTGTGCATTTCTCCGCGGGAAGTTGGAAAACTTGACAGGCATCGCAAGAGAAGGTTGCAGTATGGGTGAAGCAGAACCGGTCCAAAAGATTAGCATCTCGGTTTCTGTCTTTAGCATATGGATTCAGGATTCATCATTGGATGGCAGCAGGAATGGCAGGAAGTAAAGTTTCTTGAATGTCCTCCGTTCCTTTGGGATGAAAGCATTCCCGTTTTGCAAATTACAAATTTAATGATTGAAAGTCAGCCAAAGGTACAAACTGAAATGGCAAAGCTTTGTATAATGCTGGCTTGAGTGAGGGCAAAAGCGCTTGAACAGCACAATGTGGTATCACTCATTAAAGTAGAGGTAGGGAAGCTAAAATGTAGAAGTTACCTTGAGGTGGTTACTTACGTTTCACTATCCCGTATGTCAGACACTAATTTTCCAAAGTTTAGGAAATATGTTGTTAAAGACAGTTTTAAAATGGGATTGTGGGAAATGGCATTTAAGCAGTCTGATGAGTAATAATGTAAGCTCCTAGTATTACAGTACTGTATCATTATTGGATGATGAAATGTTTGTCATATCAGCATCTAGTATGATCCCATTCAAATGATATGTTTATCATTTACCCTTGTTTTAGGCATGTCATTTATATTCAGAAAACTCCCATGATGATATTCTAAGAAAATGAACCATTATTACCTAAAGTGGTCCTGTAATGTGTAACAATATATAAAATGTAGTAATTTATATACACTGAGTAAACTGTCATTGTAAGTTAAGATGCATGTTTTAACATCACATTTTGGAATACTGCCTCCTCTGAAGATTGAGAATGACATGTAAGTAGTTGTTTAGTAGTAAACTAGCAAATTATCAGCTTTGTTTGGTTATTAAGATGTATATGAAATGCAGAACAGTTTAGGATAAAGTATTGTGATTTGTATTAAACAGGTTATTAGATCTATTTGCATTTGAAATATATTGCTTAGAAGCAAATTAACTTCTATAGCTTGATTCATAATAGATAATGTTGCTCAATTGAAATAAAGTCCATATTTGATAGTTTAGCAATATTTTAATAGAAAGTTGAAAATTATTATTGAAAGGACATCTGATTTAGTGTTTTTTTCCCCCTTGTGTGCATGGAATTTTTCATCATTCTTTGTTTGATGATCCATGCTTTCATGCTAGTCTGTCCCCTTGGCATATTGGGCTTATTTAAAATAAAAATATATTAACACATCGTAATATATGTTATCGGAACCATTCAAAACATCTACTTGTATAATGCAGGAATCTGAACATTCTTCCCTTGATAATGTGACAAGCCATTAAAGTGCTGTTATCATTAAGTTAAACTGGGAACTATCTACCTGTAATTTAAGAACATTATTATGTACCTTGCCATGTGGACATGAGATAATTAACAGAGTTAAGTCTTTGTAACTTCATTTGCATTCAATCTTTTCTGTCTTTATCTTTCCCATTTTATTTAGATTGTAGCCTCCTTGGGTACTTTTTAAAAAATCTGTGGAGTTATAATGGTATACAATTGGAGGTGCTGTATAAATAAACCATATAGTGCAAGATAGTACATTAGAACTGAAATCAGCCCTCAACAAACTCATTGGCTAATTTAGGACCAATTGCTCTTTTGAAGTGTTTTTGAAAATACAACCATATTATTTCATTTCAACAGCTTGGAAGTAAGTTGAGAACTATTTTTAAGATGAGTTAATTTAAGAATAATATTTAAATTGCTTGAAAAAGGGCCATTCATATATGTACAGTTTTAAAATTATCAATATTCAAAATAATATCAAATTACTGTTAAGCTTGAGGTAATACATACAACCACAGACCACGCTTTGTCTGTTTAGTGTTGAAAGAGTAACTAACGGTTTTACTAAGATTTTGTATACCGTGCGAGTTGCAACATTTTCTTAAGTGGGCATTTTTAAAGCAGAAGGAAGAAGCATTAGGTGAAATATTTTGAGAATGCAAATATCCAAAATCTGTATTACAAAAAAATATCAGTAATTCTTTACCAGTAATTGTTATTTACCTTTTGTCTTTATAATTGTTATATTTAATAATATAGCAATAGCAGTTAGACTTATATACCGCTTCATAGGGCTTTCAGCCCTCTCTAAGCGGTTTACAGAGTCAGCATATTGCCCCCAGAGTCTGGGTCCTCATTTTACCCACCTCGGAAGGATGGAAGGCTGAGTCAACCCTGAGCCGGTGAGATTTGAACAGCCGAACTGCAGAACTGCAGTCAGCTGAAGTAGCCTGCAGTGCTGCATTTAACCACTGCGCCACCTTGGCTCCTAATAGTTTTACTTTATCGGTATTCTTTATTATTATTAGCCATTCTGGCATTTTAGTAGAAAGGTTAAAACTAATTATGATTCTGTTGAGGCTTTAACAAGAAGCAATGTTTTCAGATGACTGTTGAGGCTAAACACAATGGGAATAAGGAAGAATTGTTACCTGTTTCTGTTTTTATACATCTGTTAACCCATATGGCAGAAACCATCCAGGTCTTCCAAAGGGCCCATCTCACTTAGTGAATATGGTTAATGTTGAGGGATGAGTTGTAGTTCAATAACATCTGGCAGGCGACATGTTTTCTAATGCTGGGACAGAAGATCCATTGGATGCCTCTCCATTCTTTTATTTTTTAGGAACATGTTTTGCAAGCAAATTAGCAGAACCTGTTAGGTTTGAACTAAAAGGGGAAAAGATGCTTTAGACCAGTATTTCTCAACCTCAACAACTTTCAAGAGATGAGAACTTCTTGTCTGGGAAGTTCTAGGCACCCAGGTAGAACACATCAGCAGCTCCTTCAATCAAATATATGTTTTCAAAGGATTTCAGTGAAGTTTTGGAGGGCAGCTGCATGCTGCATGTTGAGAGAAGATACATAAACACCCAGAAAGCCCTGGAGCCCACTTTGCTCTTTATATACAAAGTGCTGCACAGCCTTACTATAGCTATTGTACCACATGTACTAAAATATCCATAATTTCTTCCATGAAGTAGGGAAAAATGAGTGCACGTGATTTATAGCATATATCAATCAATTTTCAAACATCTGCTATTCCTATATTTAATATTGTAAATTAGTGCTTGTCTTATCATGAGTCAGCAATATAAACTCTAATTTGAGATTGCTAATTTGAGATATAAAAGTGGCATAGATTTAATGAGTTGAGTTTAGAATTGGGGGGGGGGGAAATCTTCAGCAAGCAGAATTTCAGAAAAATTGTATAGCCTCCAACTATTCCACTTCAGGTAGTAGGATAAAACAATTTGGAGAACCGCTATAAACTCCCAAAAAGTAGACTGCTGGACATTAGATGCTATCTAAACAATACCTTTTTGATAAGTCAGATTTAAAAAAACAAAGTTGGAATGAGGCCATACTGACAATTAAAGCCAGTTCCCTGCTTAGTCAAGGAATCCAAATTAAATATCCCCCACAGATAGTTGTTGCCGTCTGCTTGAACTATCCAACCAAGGGGAGCAGAGTAATTGATTTGCATACTTGGAATTGATTTAATGGTTGAACTTCTCCTGTCTAGAAAGTTTCTAATATTCCATTGGAATCTGTTTTCCTATTACTATCATTATTCTGTGCCTAGCACTCTACAGTAAAATGCTCTCCTATTCTCCTTCAGTTTTCTCTTCAGAAAGCTAAACATTCCTAGTTCCTTCAGTGCATTTTCATAGGACTAAAATCTGATTATCATAGTTCTGATTATTGCCGTTCCAGTTTCGTTATAATGCTTGAAATGGGGATTGATCATGCAAACTAAATTGAAACTGTCCTATTCCCTAATTTGGAATCTACACTTACGTTGATGCAATCTAACATTGTAGTGAGCAATAACCAGTTGTTGGCTGTGACAGTTGCATTTGTCAGCTGGTTAACACATTTGGTGTGGTAAGAACGTTTGGTCTTGTTGAGGGGAAATGGTGCTGAACCTCTGAAGAACTTCAAAAGCTGCTATTTCTTGCCAAAATGATTCTTTTCAAATCCTTTGAACTGATCTAGAGACTGTGTCTATTGTGGGGTTTGTTTTTTTGGGTCTGTTATCAATGTCTTTTTTAGCAAGTATAGGCTTACTTTAAAGGGCTGTAAAAAAAGTGTTTTTTTTTCTTTTAACTGGTCTTAATTGGAATTGAAGGTGAAAAACAGTGTTACATTTTTTTCTCTTCTGGGATTATTTAGAAAAAAATATTCCTAGTGCTATTTGGTGATGTTTTTATTCTTTTATTTTCATTTTGTTTTGTGAGCATTTTATTATAAGAATTTTTGATTTACACCACTTTGTGTTTTTTCTTTTGAACAGATATCATTAGTATTATAATTGGCTATAAATGCTATATTTGATGATGCCCATTATGTATTTTCCTAGTATTGGATAAGATACATGAAAGTTAGTGAAGTCCTAATAGAACATTCCCAAGGCATCCAATCTATAGAGAATATTAATGAAATAATATTAATGAAAAATGCCATCAATATATCTCCTTTATCGCCTTTAAGGATAAGAGATAAGCAAGCGTTGAGTAAGCTAAAAGACATTGACACGTTGTATTGTGCAGCTTTGGGAGTGATCGTAGTGCCAACTGTGTGCGTCACATGGCATTTGGGCAGTCCTAGAATCAAATCAGATAAAGAGAAGTAATTGTTAATGCATACAAACATGATGATCAACAATGTTCTAGTACCAGCAAAGATGCTGCTTTTAAAGATTTTAATACAACTGTATTGGACAACTTAGCATAAAATGAGTTAACATCTGTGATAATTAGAATTATTTTTTATAGAGATGATGAATGGGA